CCATTTCCTGGCTCAAACAGACCCCTCTTTTCGAAACAATCTCTGGGGGGTACTTTTTCTGCGCCTCCGCCTGGCGGAGAATTTTCCTTGAATTGGGACACTGCACCCTTAAGCCGCGAGCAGTTCAAAAAATACGGAAGCGTATTATTGCCAACGCGGAAAAATATTTTATCTCGTTTAAACGACTTATCTCGTTAAAACGAGTCTAAGTCGTGTAAACAAACAACTATGTCGCTTTGGCTGAAATATGCTTCCGTAGAAAATGAAGATCAGCGAGTTCAATTACTTGCGTTCGCCTTGGACCACAAAGATAATTATGGCTACACGGCTTTATCCATTTTCCCAATCTCCAGACGAACGCGTTTACACCCCGGTCCGAAGCAAGTTGATTCAGAATAGCAGCCAAATATATTGTAACTCGAGATCAGCTCTTGAGACGGCAGCAGCAGGGTTCGGTTCTCGTTTTGTCGCTCGAAACTTGTTGCTTGAGTATATAGCTCGGCGGCCAAGAAAGCTTGACACGGCTTAAAACGAGTCACTAACTAGTTTTGTTACTCAAGTCAATTTCACTTGACTTGAGTTATTTTAATTAAGCCCGGTTCTAGGTTAACGTTATAGTCAGCGACATGCGGTACAGGTCTTTGTTTAATTGTTGTGTACAAGGAAGCAGTAGGCCACTGTGTGAAACCTTTCATAAGGAAGTTTGCCTGTGGGGACTAATCTCTTGTTAGCTTTCACTAGAATCGGGTCTTCTGAAGACGGACTCAAGTCGAGTCATTATGTTGCTCAAGTTATTTACCCATCGGGAGTCGAGTCGCCAAAAATTGTTGCTCGGGTCAGACTCCGAGTTGAGCCAAGTCATCAACTAGTGTAACCGCCTGGTCTTGCCGCCTGTGAGGCTCACTGGCCGTTTTCTAATATTCGTCTACGCGTCTTAGACTGCGTCTCAAAAATCAAACCCCATGATTGTGGGCCTAAAGCATTCAAAGGAAATTCAAGTACTGCAGCACTGATGATAATGGTACTATTGGGCGAACATCGTCTTTGCCAGGTGGTAAAAAAAATGACGAAGCCCGGCGATGGAGACTCTAGTCGGGTACTAATTTTTAAAATGGCCTATCTTTTAAAAACATCAGGCAAAGGTTTTAATAGGATTTCTGCCATTTAGGGCGTGGCTTCAGGAAATACAAGTTCATCATGAAGGACCAGGTTGAAGACATAAAAGTATGGAAGCGGGCGACACGCAAAACTTGAAAAAAGAGCTAGAGAGAGAGACAGAAAAATTCAGTCATATCTCGCCGCGGCGAGATGGACTCAAAGATATACTAAAATAGTTTGGAGTATTCCCCTTCATACCCTTCGTATTTTCGTTTGATTTGAACGTTAGAAAACTCACAAAAATATTCCCCAGTCAGTGACTGACCATTCATATTATATACAAAACCGATTCAGAGAGAGAAAAATCTCTACTCGACGTCCTTGTGCTGACGCTGGATGGGGGGGGGGCGTAAGCAGGACACAGTTTGCCTAGCGAACGGCCCGGCCGCGCGCGGCGTCCCACATATTATCCTCGCGCATGCGTCTTGGACAAGAACTGACGGACAGCCATCTTCGTCCCTGTTGTTCTCTTCCGGTGACTTTGTTCCAGAATTTATTCAACTACAATCATGACAACGACTTCAGCTGCGAGTATGTTACTGCAGAAGCAGTTGAAAGGTAAAACCTGTTGTTGTTCGGTCCCTATTGCAGAAAATATAGCGTTCGTAGCATGTACAAAAGTGGAATAATCCCGATTTTTTTTTATCCCGTCAATTGATAGCTGCACTGCACTACAGTACACTCAACAGTACAGAGCTGGGCCTACCACCAGCCCAGTGCAGTGCACCGGTACGGTGGTACTGGTAGCCTACTCATGATGGTGTCGCATGTCTCGCCGTGGTTTTATGTGATGCGTCATCAGGTCATCTTGGCCATAAGCGCGCTGCCTACTCAACCAAGTACCAATGAATACGTAAAGGCAAAAGCACTGAATAGCTGAGAGAGAAGTCACTTTGGCAAGATTTCACCCCCCCCCCAAAAAAAGTCCTGAAACTGCTCAACTATAGTATACACCCACCGTCATGACCGTAGGATTTTAGTGTGAATCCAAGAATTGATTCAGCCATAGGGCTGTGTATAAACGTTATGGACGGATGCAACTTTATGCGTTCATATGGGAGCTTTGGCAACCTGAGGGCGCACTTAGTTGAAAAAACTGTCGACTTGTTGTCATAATTCAGGGGTTTGTTTTGCCGCGAAAGGTCACCGTGGTCATAAAGCTCCTGGATGTCACAGAATGTTGCGTCTTTGTTCTGATAGAGAGTTGCGACATACACCTAAGTGTCTGCATTGTTGGAAACAAACTGGCTGGTGCATCATGCACCTCTGCCTGCTGACAGTTGATTTACAATAGCACAAGCTCTACTATACTGCGGAACAAATCGGAATAATCAAATACGAGAAAAATATTATACTGAAGTCACTTGACCCTCCCCATTTAAAATTCGTCCTATTAATTATAAACACTGATTTCTCTATTTTGATAGAAGCTTTTTTGATAGATGTGACTTTACTTGTTTTTTACGTGTTTTTTAAGTGATTCACATAATGAAAAGCCATTTTGTTTCCAAAATCTGAAGCTGTCACTGCTCTCTTGTTATACAGCTCTGGGTTCACTAACCTTTGGGAAAGAAACAGAAATAACTTATTCAATTAGCATTGTTACATGTATGCTAATTTTTAGGGAAAATATCAACTATGTCATAACATGCCAGCCAATGCACCATTTGTAATCGAGTGTGCATATGCCAGCGCTGTTTCCTGAGTGGTGCAACGTCCAATTTCGACTTGATTTTGTCAGGGCTACGGAACGTCACACTGATCAGCAAACATTCATTTGCACATGCCTGTGCACAGCCTATGCACGATTATGAATGGTGCGCTTACTTGGCTGGCATGTTGTGTCATTGTTGACGTTGTTCCCAAAAATTTGTATACCGTTTGGATCACTGCAATGAAAAAAAGTGGCGACTGCAAGTGCAATGACTGGAGGATTCCCTACTTTAACAGGAAATTTCTCTTTTCTTCCCAAAGGTAAGTGAATGTAACCGCTATCATTGGAATCTTGGACTCTCACTAAATCCTGCGGTGGGGGCCATTGGACTTTAAGGATTTTGGGGAGATAAAACCTGAGGATTTTGATTTGGGTTATGAGCTGTTTTGCATGTGTAAGTGAAATCAATACGGGCGATTCACAATAGTGCGCCACCAAGAGTTTGCAACACGTTGGCCAATCATAACGCGCGAAAGTTGTCGACCCTTTCCAAACGCGGTCGACAAATTTCGCGCATTGTGATTGGCCAATGTATTGCAAACTCTTGGTGGCACATTATTGTGAAACGGCCGTATTAGTGGTACATAAGGCCCAGGGAAGGTTCTAGGACTCTACTATCTCTGACCATGTTGAAATGTAAAATGAGGCGATTTGTAGAGTCCTACTTATTAGGACGAGCATGACCTGAGATGGCGTGTTGGAGGAGATTCCCCAGTCCTTGTTAGTCACTGTTGAAAAGAATGGATGAATCATAATGATGTTGTGATGAATGCATTATGCAATACATGTATTGTGGTTATATCAGAGCTTCAACTGGCCATATGTTGTGTACATGTGTCAGCATTAACCAAATTTAGTGAGCCTACCAAAAATCTTTTCAGCTCAATAAAACAACCCCAAACCATATTGAATAGGTTTGCTATTCCAACAGTGTGAGGCTATGCAGGAACAGCTATGTAAGCACGCAGTAGTCTGTATTATCACCAAAGCCAAACACTGACTCATGTGTTTGCTTTGTTCCCAAAAGACCTTGGCTCTTTGAAATACCGAAATGGCTCATTGACACTATTTTGTGGTGCTGTTCATTCAGGAGTTGAGATGTCATGACCATTACAAGGTCATTCAATTTTTGTATTGGGAACCATTCATTGTACTTGATGTGTATGGTTTTGAGCACCAGAGCAGAGAACTGGCTGCATAAAAGTGGGCTATGTACACAGAATGTACAGCTTTCCACCTTGGAATATTATGTGACATTGTTTAATTGTTATTTATTGTGGCACAGTTGCACACAACTGTGTTGTGACACACTGGACACGAACCCGATGAGACTGGTCTGAAAATTCTAAAGGTTTTCTTAGTAAATGCTTCAGTATTTTCCCTGCTAAATGTAACTTTTGGTATATGATTGCAGGAAAAAATTAGTAATGTCCATGCATGTATGGAATTCTTTCCTGCATGATATAATGCTTTTACATGTCTACTTGTGACTCGAAATTTTGTCCCTTTTTTGCAAAGAGCAGCAGCTGTGCCCTCGGCACACACTCAGTACAGCATTCTTTTTCTTTTGAAGAGTCACAACTGTGTCACAGATGTAAGAGCACATGTAATTCAGTGGTTGATTAAATCCATGAGGTACATGTATATGATAACTGGTTACTCAGTGGCAGAAGACTGAACCAACTTGAAGATTATGTACAAATCATGAACAAGTACAGTGGAACGCCGCTATAACGAACACACTGGGGTCCACGCTAAATGTTCGGTACAGCGGTTGCTCGGTAAAGCGAATTTAACTACCGAACGTTTCATTGCCCCGTTGAATAGCACCCTCTCTTGTCTAACTGAAGTGAACCCTCTTCTGATACTATGATTCACTGTTCTCGTGAGGTTTTGCCATTGCATTCACGTTTGAGGTTTCTAGAAACTTATCTCTTAATTATTTTTGTTTTTCCTCAAATTTTGATAATTTTCCTCAAAATTGATATTTAGTTTATCCTAAATGTCGTGAAGCTACCGCTCAGGATTGATCTCTGATGCATGCTGTGGCGAATCTCGGTTGATTTGCAACTGCATAGTGTTCGGTAGGTTTGTGCACAAATATTGGGAGCCAAGGACGATGTTCAGTACAGCCGAATATTCGGTATAGCAGTGTTCAGTACAGTGACATGCCACTGTATGAACGAGAGGTGCATTTACAACTTGAGTGGATATGTGCACATTATAAGCATCATCATTAATATTATTATTAATAGATCACTTGTGTTTCTCTGATCACTTTTCTCAGAGCTGCAGAGCAGAAGTAGTTTGGATGGCTTTTCAGCAGGACTGAAGGATGACGACGATATCTTCAAATGGGAAGTGATGATCTTTGGTCCCACCAATACCTTTTAGTGAGTAATGAAACCATTTCATTCTAGCAATTCTTGGGAGGCGTTGGAGCAGTAGTGTGCATTTATGGGCTGTTAGGGAACCAGGTGTCCTGTTGAAGTAAACGTGAGGTACCTGCAAAGAAAAGCTAACTATAAACTTCAAAGAAAAAGGCAAAGATTAAAATTCATTCAAAATTCTCGTAACCAAAACACTTGTTTTTTTTTCTCCAATCTTTGGACAAAATCTCCTCATAGACATCTCTTAAAAAACATTCTTTGCCCCAAAATTTACAAAGTTCATGTAATTTGTAAAGGTCGTTAAGGGTACACGGGACTCAGGTACCCCAATACATGTAGTACTCAACTGATTGTGTCAGGAACCGACTTTAAATTCTGGAACTAGGTTCTCACAACCTGCTACACAACATACTCAGTAATTGTTTAGACAAAGGAAAAGACAGATTAAAAGAAAAGGGATGGTTACAGGCTGCATGGAATTGCTGAAACAGGTTCATCATTTATGTCCCAAGATGCATGATCTGAATACTAAACACATGAATTGAATGGCACTTGCACCTGACGTAGGAAAAAGCTTGAGGTTTTTATTTTCCTGTTCACAGTGAGGGTGGCTTTTTCAAGGCAGAGTTGGTTTTCCCACAGAACTTCCCTAGCAGTCCACCAAAGATGAAATTTGTCTCCGAAATATGGCACCCAAACAGTAAGTGAACTTCACCTCAGCTGGAACTTTGACAGTCTCTAATTGGTGAAAAATAAGTCATTTTATTTCTTGTTTGGTTTGTTCTTGGTTTTGAATACAGTAAGTGTGCGAGCTCACGCACACAAGTGTGTAAACGCCTTCAATCGTGGACTCCCTATTGTTCCTCTTTTGTTCATAGAGTAACTTTTCGGAAGACCTCCCATATGTTTTGTACACATTTCCAACGGTGGACTCTTCGGCAACCGTGGACCCTATTGTCCCCTATTGTTATAGGTCCACGATTTGAATGTGTATACAAACTCACAACTGTTTGTGTAGCGGCTAAGATATTCATGTTTATATATTTTTCAGAAAGAAATGCAGTTCAAAATGACAAATCAAAATGCAGTCAGTGATGCCTTCCCTTAGGCAAACTACATGTACATCCATAATTACAAGTATAGGTGAACAAAATGCAAGTATATATATATTGGTAATTCCAGCATGTGATATAGAGATTCTCTGTGATGTTTCATTTTTCTGGATTCTTTGCCATTTTATAGCATTTAAAACCTCATTGACAACTATGTAACCCCCACTTGAAGGTTTCTCCCCATGTTTTAAAACGGTAGGAATCTTTACCATGGTAAATTTTTTTTTAAACTCAAGTTTATGCATTTTTTAACTTGATATTTGCCGTTGACAGTTAGCAAGGAAGGCGAAGTGTGCATCTCAATTCTTCACGAACCGGGTGATGATAAGTGGGGTTATGAGCAAGCATCGGAGCGTTGGCGACCTGTACACACTGTAGAATCCATCCTAATTAGTGTCATATCCATGCTGTCAAGCCCTAATGATGAGTCGCCAGCTAATGTAGATGCAGCGGTAAGAACCACTCGGTAGGGGGGGTGTGAAACTTACTGTATGTGGTGGGACGGTAGTGTATGTTTTTGGATATGGTTTGGATAGACCAAACCATGTCTGATCTGAACCTCTGTTATTTGATAGAAAAGGACGTAAACTGCATTTAGTCTATAACAGTAAAGAGATGTCAACTTATGATTTGTTCAGCCCATTTACGACTGTACCCTCCAGACTAAGAGTTTTATGATTTATTTAAAACTCCAAGGTATAAGTACCATGCAGTTGTGTATAAAACTCTTTGTAAGCTGGCCCGGAGCCGGCCTCTTAATGCCCACATCAGAAATGTGTCCCTGGAATTCCACAGTTTATGCGTACATGCTGCGCGAATAGCAGTAGAAACCAGCAAGGTCAAACCAACGGAACCATCCATTCACCCCAATTAACACCATGATGAACTGAGGGTGAATAGGCACAATTGCACTTCATTTGCAACGTGATTGTGTACGTCCATTATTAACCATGCAGTGTGCATGCACATGAACGTCGGTATCGTTACACACGTACATGTGGGTCATCATCTTGATCATAATGATCATGCTAAAGTTAACCGGGGTGGAAGACTGTCAAGGATTTGAATTTTGGATTTTTGGTGAGCAACTGGACTTACTTTGCACAATGGCAACAAGTGACCAGAAGTTCAAGGACTAGTACACCAGCACTGTAGACTGACAGTAGACCAGCGAATGGATTTTCCTCAACTGTATTTTCAGTTGACAAATTTTGGGTTCACAGTCGAACATAAATCCCCCCCCATCACAGCAGCAGCATTTTTTGGCATATATCCAACAAGGTGGCTATCTTGCCTCCCCGCATGTTTCTGGCAAACACATCACTAGTAAATGCACACATTACAGACAAGTGTCAGGCATTAGATTGTGCAGTTGTGACTGTGATTGGTCCGAACATCAAGATGCAGGACTCAATGGATTAGCCTAACCAAAGTAAAGATGAGGATTTTTTTTTACATTTTTCTGTGTGGACCTATTTTGATTCCTGGTTGCCATCGGCTTAGCTGAGTTGCTTAGTAGCTTTTTTTTTCCTCAACAGAAAGAATGGCGGACAGAGTACAACACTACATTCAAACGCAATGTGCGCAAATGTGTCACAAAAAGCCAAGAATTCTTATAGTGGCTTGGCAGCTATTTCCCATTGTAAGTAAAAACATTTTCTTTCGTGTTGCTTGTGAAAGGAAAACTTAAGCTACCAATCTACTTGGATATGCAGCATACATGTATTTAACTTTTCTGGAAAAATGTGCTTTGTTCTGCAGGTCTTATCTTGCACTTTTTGCTTTTTTTTTTCAAACAGATTACGACTGACATTTTCCTTGGATTTGAAGAACAACACATTTCCTTGGAGGCCAAAGCTGACTGGATAACTTGACATCACGGACCTTCTTTTTATATGCAATACGAGCGACAAAACCGTTGGGACTCGTATCCAGTACGTGACGGGATGACATCTTTAATAGCACTGAAAAGGAGTTGCATTTTTGTCTTGTATATAGGACATGGAAACCATTATGAATACCAACAGATAAAACAAATCTTGAAATCATGTTGGTGATAGGAGGGGATAGGTAAGTCCGAGCGACCATTTTAGCTTTATATTCTCCAAGAGCGTGGTGTTTGTCACTTGCACAACTGAGTAGAGGGAGTACTGTGGCGAGTTTTGTGACTGCCTGGAGGACTTGAACAAGTCTCTTTGAGCAAAAAGGCTGTTGGAGGACACAGGGTTGGACGGCTGTTTCCCCACATCTATGGATGTATCTCAGTGTCTGTCTCTACATTGTCGTGCTGTGTGTGAGGAATTGTCGGTGGGTCTGTGCTAAAAGCACATGGTACTCTCAACATGTACTTGCTTCTTCCAAATGGGATCGGGAAATTTATCTTAATTTTATTTAGAAGTCCTCAGGTTGATACGACTAGGTAAGGGAAAAGGAAGAGGAACCAGAAGACGCAGAATATTGTCGGTGTTTTGGTTAAGCAACAGATTTAGCATAGTCAGGGGTTGTGAAATCTCCCTTACTGAGCATTATTTGAGTCTGTACAAAGTCTGGAGTGGATTTGACACAGTGCCTTTGGCAGTGAAATCTCAGGAATTTAAACATTGGCCGCTGTGCAGCATTTGCGTTCTGCTTTAATCCCATGCAGCTGTATGCCGGAGCCAAGTTTCATCACTGATTCACACAAGGGAAAAGACATACATTTCCATGCATGATAGTGTCGCAGAAAATCCCAAGTTTAAGCCTATGTCACGAGAGACCTTGTGTATATATTTCCCAAGACCTATGCCCATTTCTTCCTAAAGTAAGACCAAGGCCACTACCATAATAGTTAAGGAACACGCAAGTTAGAAAGTAATAGGCATATACGATTATGAAGTAAAACTCTCCCAACAGCAATTTTTCCAACACAGTTTTTCAATCCAGAGTGTCCCATCTGTTGAAACATTCGTTTGTAAAAAACAAACCAGAATGAACATGTGATTTCAGGAAAACATTTTGAGCAGTTGCAGCATAAGGCCGCCGATAAAAACCTCTTTGAGTTTCTAGTGTTTTTTTTTCTCTTGGTCAGCTAGCATGCAGTATTAAAGTCGACATTTCTAAAAACTCAGAAATTTCACTACACACAGTCTGAAATCAGACAAGTGCATTGAAATTCCCATCTAGGAAGAGAAGGGTCTGAGAGAGTTGTGCATTGACGAGCAACTGGGAACTGTTTGATATTGCCTCGGTATATCAACAACCTTTTGCTTCTGTGCAGAGAAGCTGTTGACGCCGTTTTTTGCATTTATTATGTGAAACGAGTACATGCATTGATATTTTACCCGCGTCATCAACTGTTTGGAAGTAACATTGGAGACAGTATCTGTAACTGCATCACAAAGATGTTAAATCTTGAGGTTGTCTCCAGTGGCGAAACAATTTTCAAAGTGGGGGAGTGCAGTCGTGAGACCATCAGACATCAGCCATTGATAGACCCATCCATTAAGACTGGCCTCAAACAGGACCTTTGGGGGGGGGTCCACCCTCTTTAGCAGTGGAAGGGGGCACAAGCCTTGTGCTTCAATCACATTGAGAACAACTATCACTATCCCAGTGTGTTTGATCAAATTTTTTAAATCTTAAGCAACTAGCTTTTCTAATAAAGAGGGAACTGAGGTGAGAGTGGAACAGTTTTAAAATGAAGATATGAAAATTATTGAAAAAAAAATTGTATAAAGATTAAAGAAAGAGAAGTTGCTTGTTTAGTCTTAGTAAAACGGAGAAAGGATTAATGTTTCGAAAAGGTTTAATGCAGTTGATGCTGTCGAGTATGATCATTTTTAGTCAACCACTGGTCGGTTTTGCCTGGTGCCCAGGATATATTTTGTGCATAGGTTACCAGGGAAATCAACCAGTAGATGACATGGTCACCATGGGGTTGTCTCTTTGGACACCCTGTGGGCTCCGTGGTTGTGTTTTTCATGGAGCAACACAAAAATCCACCACATTCTCAAAAGCCTTACAAGTGTATCTCATGATGTTTACCAAGTAACTAATTGTCATTGGAATGTAGGATGAACAGTTGCCCTTAATGCTCTTGTGTCTTTGGTGGGGGTGTTTTGTATGGATTGGCTGCTCAGTGTACCCTGTTGTGGTATGCAAATGCATAGAAATGAAGAAAACTTCAGCAATTTTGATGCTACGTTTTTTGTTGCGCGGTAGCTTTGGACGGACTGGTGTAAGTGCTGACAAAAAAAATGTGCTTTGGAGGAACAGTTAAAAACTGTGGGTGTGGATGGCTTTTCTTAAAGTGGAATGTTTACCAGGCAGCTTTCATGTCCCTGAGGGCATAGTAAAAGCAAATTACAGAAATCGAGACCATGCCCCAGTGACCGTCATAACACCTGTGTACATGTAGAAAGCACTGTAACATGCAGTGTTGGTGTTCAATCTGTCACAAGTCAATCAGTCTTGAGCCAAGTTGTATGCTATTCAGATAGATGGTTTCAGAAGCATTTCTTTGTCAATGATCATCCTTTCACTTATGACTGGTCTTGTCAGAGGACTTGTGATGGACTTTAAAACATCATCGATGCTGTTCAGTGTTCGGTGCTGCTTTTTAACTGAGAGGAGAACAGCTTATTAGATGAGGGCACTTAAATGGCCCCCTCTGTGCTGGAAGGACACAGATGACAAGATAAATGTGATCCCCTTGGAAATCTGATGTGCCATAAATGCTTAAGGCATGCAAGATGAAATTCTCCATTTTGTCTTTTTATGCACTGTCTTGAACGTGGCCACTGGCCAAAATGGTGTTTCCCAGCCACACATCGTCACTATTTTGAACAAAACGCACCCAAGTCACATTTTGTAAAGTTTTGAATGAATCAGATTTTGTCTTGTTCAGTTAATTTCCTGCCAATTAATTGTGCCATTGTATTTGTAGATAATTAATGTAGAATGGATGTAAAAATAATATCTATAACGATCTTCTTTGTCTGAAGAAGCTTACCAAATGACTGCAATTTTTGTTGAATTGCGTTCATTAATTTTGATTCTTTGATTTTGTCAAATTAGACTTTGTTTTGACTGCAGAATTGATTCTTTTTTAGAGTGGGAAGTGCTATTACGCAAGATGGTTACAGAAATTTTGAGCCATTTCTCAAAAACGAAAGCAATATAGTTTACATGTGCGACTTTATTATAGAAGGGTTATGAGAAACTGACCAGGACCCAGTTTCATTGTGTTGTTAAGTAAAACGTCTTGCTAAGTAAATTGAAGTGCGAAGCAAAACATTGGCAGAACACCATTGAAAATAAAGCAGTATATTTGCCATGATCCATCGGCTGGTAACCAGTTTTCACTTGGCAACTGTTGTGCTTAGCAAATCTGTTAAGTTTAACAGCTCTATGAAGCTACCTTTGGGTTTTTGTAATATGCCACGTCAACATTACTTTGCTGTGGCTTGAAATTGTACATTTTTCTATGGGAAGTGGCTACTGTATAATTACCATAGACTCATGCATAATTCAATCCACAGTCAAGTATTTCGGACAAGGCCATATGTAACCCACTCGGTAAAAATGAGTCCTAAGTTGCCAGAGCCACTTTTGAGTTTTCATTTGTATTGGAAAGAGCAAATTGAGTTTTTTGTTTTGAAGTATTACTCAGTTTGGCATCCGGATGAAAGTGGATACTCCATGGTGAAAAATGCTGTGGATTCCTATTGATTTACACTGTGCAAAATTATTCTAAAGGACTTTTTACTCCTAGGTGGCTCTGGCGACTTAGGACTCATTTTCACAGAGTGTGTCATATATATACTTGATGGGAAAGGAACCCCAAATTCGGCACTTAGTTTCAGTGCAACATTAACTACATATACAGCGTATGGAACAAATGAAGACTGCTAAAATGGTCGCCAAAACTTGCCGTTATAAATTCTGAACTGTAGATCCTCTGGTAATCTTAAAGTTTATCCACATTTATAACATCTTTCTGTTTTGATTATTCTGGAAATTTCCCAAAGTTGTGTTTGTAAATGTAATTGTGTGACATTTTAGATTTTGTTTCAATTTAAATGCCAATTGTAATATTGATCATTAAATATCAAAGTGAGTGAATTATTAAGAAGAAAGCCGAATGGTTGAAGGGTAGTCATGTTACCCAAAAACTTAAGAATATATTCTTTGTTGAAAAAGGCTTGGTAATTTTCTAGGTTTTAACCAGTTTCACTTGGCCTCAAAAATTGTGCTTACTACACAGGCCTTGCACTAACTTTTTATCCTGGCTACCCCACTGGGCTAGTTAACTGGATATTTTACTAGCCCGTATATAACAAATTGAAAAAAATCAAAATTTGTTATCAGCTCACCAATAAAGAATTTGACATTTCGGAAAATGAAAGGCTGAGGGTATAAATAAAGAGGCATGTATGTTAGTTAAACATCGCTTGAGTCACTGGTAACGGAGTCGGGAACAAAATTACTTCTTTGCTCCATCTTTCCCCTCATTTGGGTTTGCTTACGTTAGGCAAATTGCCACTTTTTGCTTACTTTCTGATATTTATATTGATTTATATTGAATACATGTATTTATTTTGATCTAAGTTTGAACAGGTAGCTATAGGCTTATTCTGAATTTTTCACTAGCCCACCAGGCAACCAAGGAACAAAGTTTAGGTAGCCCAGAGCATTTTTAGCTGGAATTTGTACGCTGGGCTCGTACTTTTTCGAGGCCTGCTACACTACAAAATAATGCTGGTGCGTAAGAACTATTTCATGGCCTGTATGTGCTTATAGCTGGGTGCACATGGTGTTACGTTAATGATTTCAGCGCCATTTTGTCATGGGGTTAAACTTACTGTTCCTGTACTTACTGCTAAACAGTCTCTGTGAAACAGATGAAGCACTGTAAAATCATATGCGAGGCAGGGCCGTGAACTTGGGCCGGGATGAATGCCAACTTTCACAGTGCAGTCTGTTGAACACCGGGTTCCATTCTGCCAGTTTTGTTGTTGTGTTACAATTGGCATTTAGAACTTCCTTCGATTTTACTGTCACAGTTGGTGGTGTACGTTAACAAAGTGTGGATTTTCTGGGAAAAATAATATGATGACTGGAGAGTTGTACATCTGCAGTAGTAGACATTAACTTCATTAACTTGCTTCAAGTGGACAAGCTTCCTGCACAAACTGATTCAGAAAGTGCACTACTGTCCAATTTGTGTTGGGCAATCGTATAGGTGCTTTTTGGACGTTCACCTGTGGCACAGGTCATAACTGAACATCTGTTTTTTTTGCGGGGGGTGACAATCTGCTTATCTCATACAGGGCCATTCTGAGCACTGCATAACTCTTAAAATAAAAACAGCGAGCTGAGATCTTGTGCACTTTTATTTGAGTACATTGACTTGCTACAGAAGGATTGGACACCCCCTTAAGCTCATTATTTTTGGAATGTGACCAGCTACTTGCAGTGACACTGATAACCATCACCTCCTATACTAACAGGTATTTTAAGTTTGGTTTGGAAAGAAAATACATGAGACTTCCATGTTGTAGTTTAATTATACCTTCAAATATGATTGTGCATTACGGTCTATTAAATATTCTAATTATAAGTGGTTGAATTTTCAAGACATTGTTGTGTATTCTTGGTTTATTGCTCAGTTTATCTTACAGTGTAAACGATGCCCATTAGAGTAGAACTCACTGTTCGCTGTACTCATGTATTATTGGTGTAATATGTTTGTTAATGATTGGCAAACACTCTGGACATCTTATCCCCAAAATGGACCCTAAAAAACAAATTGCATCTTTGGGGGCCAGGCCCCTTTTTGCTCCCCCCAGCCACTAATGGGTGCAGATTCTGGTGCAAAAGCCTTTTCCTTTTGTATAAAGCTGGATTAACTAATATTTTGGACCCAGGAACCTTCTGTAAATTCATATTTAGAAACAGAAATGTACATGCAGCCAAAAAAAAAACACTGGCTTTGTCGTTTTGATGAATACTGCCAAGGATTCCTTTAGGCGTCCTCATCCTTAGCTTTCATCTTCGTGTCATCTTCCATCTCATCTGCTGGATGCACCTGATTGGAGTGTTTGCGTCCTATAGAGAAGGTGCTGCTGATCTTCTTGACGACAGCTGAGATCCTACTCCCCGACTTACTGCTGGAATTAGACTTTGATGTTGAAATGGCATGTCCTGAGTCAACACTGGGTATATTGGATGCACTTCCTAGGGAAGATGCTGGATCCAACTGTTGTTGGTTTTCAGCTTGATGCAGCATGGAGCTTTGCTCATCAAACATTTCATCATTGGTATCAGGGCGGGTACACCCATCCTCCTTTGAAGACTGCAGGGCAGATGCATAGCTTGAATCCATTGCTGGATCTGAGACAGTGTTTGGAAGAGGCCTCGGGCATCGGTCAATTGGATAGTTCAGGGCATCAAAGTCACTGAAGATGGAGGATGCACTCTGGGGAGTCTCCCCACAGCTTATTGGCAGCATTATGGAACTTGAGAGGGATGTGGCAGATGGGGTGTAGCTTGACCTCATCGGCTCAATCTGCATTTCTGGCGAAGCATCACCTTTACTCATCAGCAACTCCTGAGTACTTTGATCAATTGTGTAGTCTTCCACACTGACTAGGCCATTGTGGACATGGTCGTGGAGACAGATCTCAGCATGCCTATTATTTGGATGAACTGTATTTGGTGTCCCCTCGTTTTGAATGTGAGGTGGAGTTTCATGTTCATCAATTTCATTTTGATAGTTCTCACATACTGGGTTACCAACTGTATGGTTGTCACTGAGGCAGTCTGTATTTTGAGGTATATCCATTTGACGTGTCCCACTTTGGCACGTGTCATCTAGGTCAGCTTCCAGTTTCTGTTCCTTGTTTCCAGTGTTATCTCCTCTGTCAGAACTTCCTCCTGTTGTCTGTTCATCAGCCCCTTCCCCAGTGTTGAATTTAAAAGACCTGCTCGTTAACCCACCCTGATCTTGCGTGTGAGCCTCAGAAATGGATGCACTACTGTTCCTTGTGTCTGCTGTGATTTCCATTGCTTTAAGATTGCCAACTTCCGTGAGGAATTTTGTTGGACCCTTTGATTGAGTTCCCTGCACTGGATTCCCAAGTGGATGATAAGCATCTAAGAATTTTCCACTCTGAGATGCATCAGTGTGACGAGTCGTACTTTGGCAAGTGTTATTTGGATTGATCTCATGTTCTTGTTTCTCATCTTCAATACCATTTTCTTGACTCTCAGGACTTTCTTTCAATGCCACTCCAGCAACATCAACTTCACACAACCCACGGTGAACTTCCACGTGAGCCTGAGAAGTTGGGGTAGTACTCTCCCGCATATTAGCAGTTTGCACTGCTGTTGGAGGTCCAACTTCTTTGTTGCCCTCCGCGGGAATGCCAGCTTGAGCTTTGTGCAAATCACATTTACTGGCACTGTCCTGGTGAGAAACAGCCTTGGCTTTGCCGGACTTTGTTTCAACCTTTTCGTGTCCATAAGCTGTGGATAAGTCTGAATCTCTTTGGCCCAACTGAGTATTAACCTCTGACGTGGATTTTTTTAACAGGGCACTTTCGACCATAGCATAGCTATCATCACAACTTGCATTTGCATTTTCACCATCCTGAGTTGCATTCACAAGCACTTCATTTGGTGAGTAAGCGCTAGCAGTGTGTTCATCATCATGACTTTCCAAAGCCACTTGTTCGTTGTCAGTTCCAACACTGTCAAGGGTGGTATCTTCTCCGACATCCATCTCTGTTGTCATAGGATTCATCTCATTTGAATCCTTTGAGACTGGGCACTCATCCTCCTTCCCTGGCTTGGGAATGCCAGCAATTTGAGTTTCAGCAAGAAGGTCTTCATCTTGCTCAGGAACAGTTGGTTCAATTTGACGACTAACCTGAAACCAAAAGAAATAAATTTTTTGTGTGTACGTGTTTAATCACATGTCTTTTCAATGTCCAGTTTTTATTTGTTGTACTGAACTTTTCTGTCTGAAGGTTTTGAGATAAATAGGTCTCTGATTCCTTTGCGGTAATGTCATTGAGTTTCCATGACCAAAGTACCTTTCGTCTAATTGCCTGTCCATCCCCCTCATTAACCTCACCTTATTTTTTCTTAGTTTTGGAAGGTAACACACTCCTTCAGCGTCATCAGCCGTCACTAATTCCTCTTCAGAATGGTGAGCAGTGATGTCCTCTTGATCTACCTCCAAGATGCCATAGTACTTGCCCATCTCTGCTGAAGAATGCTTGGAGTGTTTGGAGTGTCTTGAGTGGGACAGCTCCTGCACCAGTGTGTCCTTAAGACATTTGGCGGAGCCCTGGCAATAGGTCATGTCTGGACGAAAGATGTTGCGAAAGGAGTTTCGACTTCCAGTAGAATAAGCGGACGGTGCTTTGTGATGGTGATCAGGTTTAATGGAGATGGCCGAGAGATTGGCATCTATCAACTCCTCTCCGATGTTGATGAGGTTGTCATGGTAGACAGGAATGATGTTGCTGTAGTGATGATGGCTGCTTTCGTCCATGACCACCTTGTCAGGCTCCACTGGATGAGCAGTGCCCGATGAGATGTCCGTCGTAGAGACCTTAAGTTCTGGTTTCGTTTGACTGTGGGAAGCCATGTCATGTTTAAGCCTTCCAGAACTGTCCATTTTGAGGGAACCTGAAGATAACACAGCTGCAGTGACATTGATGGAGACCTTGGAAGAGGCTGTTGAAGTTGAGGAGTGATGTTTAAGGGGCACCAGGGCTCCTTCAAAGATGAGTTTGTGGTCCTCTGTTTCTTTAACAACTTCCGTCAGTCCCGTAACAGACTCGCCGCTCAGACACCCTTTCAGGGAGGTGACGCTTCCCTCAACAGCAATGATCTCATTTTCAACCACTCCTATAATGTCACCTTCCTCCCCTTCATCACTTTCAGTGCTGCTGGAACTCTCACACTCACTTCCACTCGCTGTCAGAACTTCGCTAGATTCTCTGTCTTGATCCTCATCTTTGCTGTGATGTTGCTCATCTTTTTTTTGAGGATGTATATAATGGTCATGGCGATGATGCTTGTGTTGATGACCTTCATGATGGTGGTGATGATGAATCTCTTGCCCAACCTTCTCAAGAATGTTCAAAACACTGGTGAGCAAAACGCTGTCACTGTCCAGCATTGCAGTCTCTTCTTCATAACCCGCTTCACTCCCATTTTCTTGGCTAACCTCTTGCTGTCTACCTTCCATCACACCCTTTTGGTCAGTTGCAGAGACTATACCAAGCTGAGAGAAGGACTGCTCCACGACAGTTGCCACAGCATCACTTGCTTGTTTGATAAATTGCTTTTCCTCCTCTGTTACCCTTGCTTCAGTCTCCCCTCTTTCCTTTTCTTTTGTCTTTACCTCTCCACGTTCCTCCGCGTCTTTTATTGTTTCTTTAATTTCCTCTTTGATTACTTTGGTTATCTCTTCCTTCGATACCACTTCTTGCTCCTCCTTCACTTCTTCCTTTTCCTCCACCTTTCCTACCTTAGATCCCTCCATTGTTTTGTTCTGAATTTCTTTCCCTGTATCCACCTTTTCTTCATGCTTAGTATCGTCTTTAACTTCCTCTTCTCCCAAATCATCCTCTCTTTCTGTTTCCAATGTTTCCTCCTCAACTTCTACTTCCGTTTCCATGTCTTCTTTTATTTTCTGCTCGATCTCATCAATAATTTCATGCTCTTCCTCACATTGATCTTCAACTTTAATGGTGCTTCTCGAGATTCCTTTAGGAGCTTCCTGCAGTTTGTCTTCGTCAACTTCTTGTGCTTCTTTCAACATAAGTTTGCTGTCCCTCTCTTTCCCAAGATTTTCTTCAAGAGGAGTACCATCCAGCTCTTGAACTTTCTCCTCAATTTCCTTGTCAACTTTCTCTTCTCTCAATTTCTCTTTTTCATTTGATAAATTTCTGCTTTTGATTTCTTTTTTCTCAACACTATCCCCATCAACTTTCTCTGTTGACGCCAGCATTTTTATTTCCTTTTTACCATTATCATCTTTAACTTCTCCTGTATCTGCCTTTTCTTTAATTAAGTCCTCTCCCCCTAGTAGGTCATCTTTTGAGTCTTCAACTTTTTTCTCCTCCTCTGCAAATGACGATAAGCTTCCTTCACATAAACTCACCTCAGATTCACTCTTCCAGAAGTCTGACTCTTCTGATGAAGTATCCTGTAATTTTGCTGAGGTTGGTGGACCTTCCGACTCTGTCTCTGATGCTTCATCCTCTGAATCCTCTTTATTGTCACCTTTCCCAAGGTGGTTTCTGCTACTAACCGATTCTGCATCACCCTCAAATGATTCATCTCTGACAGATGTGCATGAACTACTCCCAGATGATGGAGCAGACGAGTCTTCATTCTCAGACAAGGCAGCTAGATCTGCTTCTCTAGAGACACTCCCCAGCACCTCCCTCACCTCAAGTGCCACACCTGTGTCACTGGAAACAGCAAGAACGCCTGGAGACACTGCATCTGCCCCTTGGAGCTTGCTATCCTCCTCACCGCTACTACCGTCTGCCAGATAAACATCTCGCATCTTGGAAATGCCCTGCAGTTCCTCTGTGGACAGTTTTGTGGGCACGGGTGACTGCCTGTAGTCTAGTGATGTGACAGACAGGACCTTGTCTGTAATGCAGACCTCAGGTTTCCCTTGCTTTGAAGAAGCAAAGACAACACTGTCATCGCTTGAGGAAGGGAAAGCATTTTCCAAGAGCTTCACTTCGAGAGACTGAAGTCAAAATGTTCAAACGGAGAAAAATGTCAGACTGAAGTTGAAGTTGAAGTGTGAAGTTGAGAAGCAAACGATTATTTTACACAGTTTCAATCATTTCAATCGATAACAAATTAAAGCTTGTCAAGATATCTAATTTCTTAAAAAGACTACATATACAAGACTACTACAAGATTATTTATATAAGAGATATTCTAGATGATCTCTGATATCTATAAAAGTTGGTCCTCACCTCAGATGATGGATGTTTCCTCCTCCGCTCAGGTGATGAAGTAATAGCCTCAGAACCATACATTTCTTCTTCGGTGTGCATTCCCAGCTCTGCACCACTCGAGTAGCCACTGCCTTTTTCTGCGATAAGATGCTTGAAGACAGCTTTAGGCATTAGAAAATAAAGAGAAGAAAATATCAAGCATAGTGTGAATTTTCAACTAAGGAGCAGCACGATGCAGTTAAGTATTTAAGAATACTCTGATTTCCAAGCGGCCCCTAAATTGTTTCAGTTCCACAATCCACTGCAGGCGCAGGACAGTGAGGACACTAAAGGAGGTCATAATGTTGCAGCGTATTTTTCTTCCTTACATTTTTAGATAAATCTGAAACATCATGCCAAAAACAATGTACCCACCCCATTGCCTTCTCTGGCGCTGGTTGTATTTTCGCTTTATCCTCTCTAGCCTCTTCTCAAGCCGTCTTGCGATTATTGCTTCCCTCTGGGCCACAAGTCTTGCCCTTGCGTCCCGGATGCTTTCAAAAATCGCTTAGAGAGGTACAAGAAGACAATGGGGCAATATCAGGAATGATAATGATTGAGAAGGCACAGCTAAACAAAAGTGCAAAAGAATGCAACTTTTATCCCAAGTTGCCTCAAGGTACAAGTTACCTTGCTGCCTGGCTTGGTGCGCTTTGACCATCTGTGACCTCATGATCTTGACCTTTGATGCCCTGGCCTCTTCCCTCTTGCATTGGATAGCCTCCATGGTCAACCGCGCCTCTCGGTTGGCTTCCCTCCTGTCCCACTGTTCCTGGAGCTGTTCAGCCAGGAAGGGAATTTGAAGGCAATCACATAAAGTAGGCCTTGTCTCGAGTGACTTTCGTAATGTTTAAGGAGATTGTTTTCAAATTGTAGGTAATACCTTATCAGGTGGGCAACACCGTATCTTGAAAGCTTAACTGACATTCTCAGCCAGTGTATCAGCCAAGCAACCCACCACATAATGTAGCATCTCACTCATTGATGGTCACTTCATTTTGTCACAGTTATTTTCTGTGCTTTCACAAAATGAGTGTTGATTTGATCAGACTCACCCGGATCAACAAAAGTTGACTGAATTACAGTATCTGAGAGCAATATCTGCTCTTTGGGTACGTGATGTACAAACATTGATTCCAGCAAATTACCTTCAACTCACGCTCAGCCATCTTGACCAGCTTCCTTCTCTCCAGCTCTTGTTCCCGTCTCATCTCCTCATCGAATCGCTTGCTCAGCAGAAGTGACTGCCTCTCGTATGTCTACAATAAAATCATCTCAGTGTTCTCAAAACATAGATATACCATCCTTCGCCCTTAGCCACAGTGAAACAGATCTATACAGCCTCAATGACAGCTCACTGAACAAAAAGGATTGAAAAACGAAAAGAATTCAGGCAGAGATAAATTCTTTCAAGAATTTATTTTTTATTTCCCATTGAAGTAAAACAGTGGAAAATCCATTGTTTTTACTTAATAAAAAAGCAGTTCAGTGGCAAGAAATATTTTTAGGACCTTTTCAGAATTTCTTTAATTTGAACAAAACGTTCTTATAACTTCCCTGTGATCAGTTTGTTGCCCTTTTCCCAAAAGAACCACAAAATTTTCGATCAAAAACTTTGGCTCTAGGCATACCTAGATTAGCAACCCCCCCCCCGCAATTCACCTTCATCTCTCCTCTTCTTTTCGTCTTCTTTCGCTTTTGCCTCTTCTCATAATGAGCCTGCATCACACTGCCGACGGGCCTCTTTGTCTTGGCAATGCTACCTTTTTTCGCCAGCGTCTTAGAAACTCCTCCCCTCCGTACCTGTCCTGCAGATGATCTGGAGCATTTTAAGGAAAAGTCTTTATGGGGATTTCTTTGAATTTAGGAATGGTACTGCATGTATTAGTCAATCATTTCTTTTAAGCTATGTACGTACAAGAACGTTTAAATTCTGTTTGGTCACTTTCTTGTGCCCGAAGTATGCCAACGGATTTGTATGTATCCTGGTAATGCTGCACTGTGCATTTTTAAAGAGTAACAACGTGAGGACGCCTTACTTTGAATGAGATATTGTCGCAGACGATCTCTTGTGATGCTTTGATGATGTGGCCGGTTCCTGCTGAATATGCACCGATCGTTCATTGCGAGCAGGTTTGTGATCTTTGGTGAGCTTTTTGCGGTTTAAATACTTTTCCATCTTAAAAAAAATAGAGCAAGAAAAATGAGCTGCATTCGGTTGACGACGAGAAGGAGACAAATGCATCAATGAATACGGAAAAAGTCATGCATTTGGCTTAAATTAAATGGAAAAATCAGCTCATTGTGGCGTTTAAAATACCATGCGTTTTCTTTGCTGTGTCAGTTCTTCCAGTTGGACTTGCTTCACGTACTGATGATAGTCATTAAACTCTTTCAAACCACATTTCACCTTTTAAAAAAGAGGATTTGATACTTAGTTTAGACAGACATCTTCCATTTGAAGATTTAAAAGCTGTTATATATTATTTTTCAGACCGATCAGGCCTTCAGTCATGTTTCAATTGTAGCTGTCGAGCAGCATATTTTGTAGGGGGAAAACGTATAATAGACGTACTTATCTGCCTTTGATCAGGTGATAATCTGACAATGGTGTAATTAAGTTGATGCGACAGTCTTTGCAAGGAAGGAAAGAATAACTAGAGGCGCTGATAATATATTAAATTAAAAAAATTGCATGAAAACAAGAAAATCATTGGTCACAAAAATGAAGGGCAGTTCATTTTGAACAAAGATCAATGACTCAATCAGTGTTTGGAAAAGAGCACAATGAGCTTGTGAAAAGCCTCCCTACCATCCCGCAGGGAGTGAGGTAGCCACTCCTCATCAGGTGGGCATACATCCTCGGGGAGGTGTAGTAGCCCTTGAGGTTTGGGTCATGGAGACTCTTGTAATTCATGCTCATACCCTGGGGGCTGGAGTCAAAGTCAAAACCTTTCGGAGTCACATGAAGCTGTGGTATGAAAATAAATAATAATTAGTGCTTGTATGTTTGTGCAGTTAGGACTATAACTTCATGTGGTGTCCAAACAACGGCATTATAGAATTCCTTCATAATTTGATGCTTACGAAAACTTATTTGATATTAGGCCTATACTCCAGGCTGCTTGGTATCTGTAATCTGCATTATTCCGACTTCGGCTTTTGGAAAAAAAAAAGACAGATTGTGTTTGATTCTTAATGCCCTGATTTCTTTTTAAAGGTGATTAGGTTCAACGATCGTTGCAACAAAACTCTAAACTATTTGCTCACAATTTGAAGAATTTGTGGTCATGGGTGGTGGCTTCATCAGCCTTATGCTTTTGTGTACACACACAGTTTGTGTCGATTTTAGGCCGGGGGTTTGAGTAGCATTACACAAGGTGGATATTGTAGATGTTAAGGTCGTCATTCGCAGTGGTATCTCGTTTGCAGTAGAACCATGGCAAACTTCTAAAGAACATCGTATCTTGCTGTGTACCTTCTCACACAAACCAGTAGTATACAGCATAATCTTGCCAGCCGGTGCGGGCACCATTGGCATCTTGCTGTACAAGGGCGTGTCCAGCATCCAAGCGGGCACTGGAGGTCTCTCTTTGCAGGCCAATCGCTTCGTCTTACGGTATCCATGAACCTGGTGGGAGGAAGGCTGGTGTGGTGCGGGCATCGATGATGCCGGTGGGGATCTGGCGATACCGGCAGTCTTGGGTCGCCGGATCTTGGTTTTGGATTTATCCATCGTCGGAGCAATCTCAAGAAGGCCTTCCGTTCTACATGTTGGTGCTACGCCAGGCTTAGGTACTGTGGGCTATACGTGGAACTACACCTTGGCAGTAAGTGGCTCACGGAGTTTGATTTTCTCAACAAATATAGTTTTCTAATTGTTTCCTTGTGCCACGCCCAGTTCTCGTCGATGTTCAGGAGTTTAAAGTTTGAAATTCAAATGAAAAACTACAATGGCAAATAGCCTGCATCCCAAGATACCTCCTCCATGACCTTCCCAAAATCTCATTGACGCAAACGATTTTGGAACAAAATGTTGGGGTTGTGCGTTGAGCGTGTCTTGGAATTTCTCCGGGCGCACATTGACATGTTTTTCCCATGTTTTTCGTATCTCGCAAAGGGCGCGTGATCAGAAATCACGCTCTCAGCTCATAAACAGCGGTCACCAATGCCAAACCCCTTTACTTTGACGACAGCTTTTGCAATAAACGCATGTGTCTAGCTGTGGAAAGAGTTCAGTTTGGGTGGTAATATTCGGTTTTTTCCCCGCAGTCTCCCAGCAGTATTTCTTTGAAACAGGAATGACATTTTCTTGTTCGTTCCTGTCTTTCGGAAACACAGATTTGTCATTTTTTGCTAAAACTCATGCTTTCCAAAATTATTGTTTTAATAACCGTCTCAAACTGGTGTTTGTTCGTTGTTTTTGTTACGTGTTTTGTTAAGTAACATTATTTCTTAATGATGAGTAGAGAATGTTGTAAAACAGCCTATCACTCTTCCAAATGGCGGCGAAGCCATCGTTGTACGTGCCACCAGCGGAAATCCATGCCTTATCCACCAGCCCCCCGTCCTTCAGTACCCGGATTTGAAATTTTTGAAATATCAAAAATAACTACAAGTCATGGTTCATCTGCAGTCTGCGCTTCCTTGGAAAAAAAACTTCCGTGGGTGCCCAAGAATTTTCACCCATTTTTACTCCAGTGCTTCCTAATTGGCTCTCTTTCAATATTCAATCAAGGCCAATCCAAGCGAGATCACTTTTAGACCTGATTGAGGCCCCGTATAAGCAGGCTCTGGCTTTTTAAGAAGTATGTGCCGACGTATCATATCCAGCAAGAGATGAGGCAGAGCTCTTCATGTACTTGTAGTTACTGTTCGTGCATGGAGGTTCTCAACCTCTGCGCATAGGCAGGCATATTAATGTTTCGGCCTATGAATGACAAAAAGTGGCCATTCGCCTTGTCACTGTCTAAGTAGCAGAAAGGCAGAACGTTTTCGAAGATTCCGGTTTTCAGCAGTCCCGCCTTCCTTCTACCACAAAAGCTAAAACGTTTAGGAAAAACTGATTCACTGCTTTTCTGCCACCTGAAAGCAGATTTTACTTATTTTGGGTGAGCGAAAAGTGAATATTTAGGTTTCTTCTATCAGCAAACAATCAGATTGAACATGTTTGGGCATTCAATCGAAAAGTAGAGTTTACCTATCAACACACTTTGTGATTATATATAACAGATTTTGCCCTTACCCAACGTATATCAATAAGCACTGTATGCT